TCTCGAAAGTCAAGTTATTTCCTCCCAGGATAGAGCTCAGTTCAACGACTTGCAGTCCCTTCTCTGTGCTACACTTCAGTCGGTTTTGCGGAAAATTAATAAAGAAGATGCTCCTGCACTATCCGATCAGGTATTTAGTTGATCTGTTCGTTAAACCCATATTTTTTGCTACAAACTGTTGGCTTCTAAAGCAGGTAAAAAGAATTTAATCTTAGAAGCTAGGTCTGAAGTAACTTTCAGTGATGTCTCCGGAGTTTGTTGTCGTTCCTAGATAACATGCTGTTATCGGCGTTTTTTTGCAAGCTTCTACGCGCAATGGTGTCATTTAAACTACTAATTGATTAAAAATCCCGTTTTTATGCCTTCACACACACACCTAACACCTAAGTAAGTAGTAACAAGTACAAGTACACCTAACACCTTCGTTTGTGTTCCACGAAGACCAAAAATATCGGGATATGTGCCCACTCAAAGTAATTAATGTTCGTCGATTATTAGGCCTACTTATACTGACTATGATAAATGCCGATATTTTTCATATCAATTTCTTTCCGACCAATTAATTTCATACTGGACTGTTATTTTCGCAAGTCCTCACAGCTAAGATTCAACCACTTGACCAATTTAACAGTTTTTACAATCGCTGTGATTGTAACTTAAAATTTTTTGGGTTCCGTAAGATCTTCCCTAACACGCCTAAATTATCCTCGTCTGATCTGAAATTTGGTTTAGTTTTCGTGTACTTTCACGGGTCTTTAGATAATCATCAGTAACTTTTCTTGTTTACCCTGCTGTTTACCTACACCATTGGAGTTGCTTTGTCCCCTCCATATCTTGTATCACAGAAGGACGAAATTTCTTTTTATACAATATCAGGACTATCCATTTAGTCTAGACTATAGCCACCAATGTTAACTTGCGCCTGAACTCTAGTATTCCGAAATTTTTACACCAATCCGCGTCACACTGTTGTCCGCGTATTAAAGGCACAGAATGCTGTATGATACGCTTCGTAGTGCTTATTAGTTGGCCTAAGATTTTGGCGGCTCCATTAGATGACGAAGCATATAGGCGTGCACGCGAAATCCGTGAATTAAGCGTATTTCGTGAGTCGGGCCTCCTAGAATTTACTTACAATTTACTTATGGTTCAAACCAGCCGACAAAAAGCCCTGGATAACTCTCGAAAAGCCGTGTCATTTTTTACATCGATAATTGTCATCAAGTAAGGCAACTACAAGCCACGTTTCCACTGTCACAATAAGGCAACACATGATCGCCTACTTGTACCGTGGACAGTGGTAAGTTTGTTTGGGAACGGACATTATGTCATTTCAACCCTATTCTATCCAATACTGGGTTGTCTATCCTCTGAAATTTTCGATGTTGAAGGTCCCTTTAAGAACAACTGCAGACGATACCTGAACTCTGCTTTCTCTTAAAATAATGCCATCTTCACTTTGAACTCGTACCTGTCATTTTAAATATTTAACGATTAAAGATGCTTTTGCTTCTGGTGAAAAACCAGTGTTCGCTTGACCCTGATCCTACCTCGCATCCAGTTTTTGTCAGTGTTTAAGCAGCTGCACATCGCTTAACTGCCACCCCACTTACAAGAAGATAGTGATGTAGCTGTGGCCTAAATCTCCTATACGGTAATCAAATTGGTGCCCATATCGCCTAGCATACCGGAATAGTAGTGTCGGTGTGTTCCACTGGCGTCACAATAGTCTTGCAGATTTTCGTTTACTTTTTTGATTGCCGTCGTGAGTTGACTGCATGCACTTAGTTAAGACGACCTATATGGAAGCAACTATAATAACTCAGAAAGATTAGGCACTTTTGGTGTCAGTGTTTAGGGCCTACCTAGTCAGTTATTCAAATAAACAGAAGTGATGTGCCCCGGATATTCTTGACTAGGATCATACGCTCCGTCGAAGACCTCCGGATCCCAACGGGGCAATCTATGTTCAAAATGTTCAGAGCATTTTTAGTGGCCACATATTTTTGCGGCCTTCAAAAGCTTTTCTCAGCTGTCGTATTATGAACTGTTCTTTATGTAGGTATAATGCGTGGGCTTGTTTTAATCCAACCACATTTGTATATACTTCTAAAGAATTCTGTGGTTTCTCATTGCCTATGTATTACGTCTTTCCTTCACTTGACGTGTTTTTCAGATCATGTTGGCTCTGATGTCGATGTTCAACTCGACTCTGAAGCCCAATGCTTCCACCGGGGCCGGTGACCAGGCTAGTTCTGCTGAAGGCTCTAAGGGTGCCGACAGTCCCACTGGAGTACAGGAAGATGCTCTGTTGGCGGTTAGCGCTCTACTCGAGGTTCTTGGCGAAGGCTTCCTTAAGTACTTGGATGCCTTTATGCCAGCTCTTCTCGTGTGCCTGAGCAACTGCTCAGAGACACAGGTTTGCCTCAATGCCATCGGACTTATGGGTGATCTCTGTCGCATCCTATCACGGCATATTGCGCCCCACGCCGATGCCCTCGTCAGTATTCTCATGCAAATCTTACAGGTTTGTTCTGTCATACTTAAACTTATATCACCCATAGAACGTGGAGGCAGACAAGACTATCAGGCCTGCAATACTGTCAGCTTTTGGAGATCTTTCGCTTGCTCTGGGACCCGGGTTTACCAAGTACCTATCTGTTGTGATGGAGACTCTCAAACAGGCTACACAGGCTGAAGTCGATCTGGTAATTACATTTTTATTGTACTTTGCTACATTTTATGTGTGCTCGCATTTAAGAACGGTAGAATATTGCTGTGCATGATTTTCTTTATTTTTTCCATTCATTGAAAGTTGGGTGATTTCACTAGTTATTTGCTGCTCGTCGGCATTTTATTTTGACCATGGCAATAATTAACTTTCACAGGAGAAACAAGGCAACCAAGTCGTTTTTAACTGCAGTTAACGAACTGCCATGTAGCCCCGCCCCCCGAGCTTGTCTGTTTTGCTCCTTGTCAACGCTGACGTTCCTGAACATTTCCGGCAAAGCCGAGTTTTGTGAAAAATAGCTCAACATCCAATCTTTTGCTCGTTTGCCCATGCTTATGCACTTTACCCAAGCTGGGAAAATAATACAACCTTTTCTTTTAGAACGATCTGGACATGGTAGACTACCTAAACTCTCTATGGAGCAGTTGTTTGGAAGCTTACACTGGCATAGTTCAGGGCTTAAAGGGCGACGATAACCGTACGTCATCTTTACCTGAGTCTCACGTACATTTAGAGCCCAGTCCCCAGCTTCAGTTCGTTGCCACACATGTTCCATTCATCCTCTCCTTTGTCCAACACGCCGGAAGTGATCCGATATGCACGGAAGAGATAATTTCATCCTCATGTGGACTTATCGGGTAAGTAGGCGCCTTTTCACTAGGTGTCATTATAACGTTTTTTCTCCAGCTCCAGCCATAGCGTGCATATTTTTTTTCTGAGGCTTTGATGCTGCCCAATATTTCTTATTGCCGACGAACCGGGTTGTCTTAACACAATCGTTTGGATATGAGGGTGTTCGGGGAGAATGACTTCTAAGTGTTCACTTGTTTTTCATTTGCTCTACTTCGTACCCACCTCCCGTGTCGTTATCAACGATGCTCTTGAATGCAGAGTTTTCAAGCCAGTGTCCGCTCCCGGAATACTGCACATGCGTAACTGATAAACGCGAAACGCCGCCAGGATGTCTGTTTTCTGTATTTCTTTAGGATCCTGATGAAAAAAGCGAGAGTAAGACTCGTATTCTGCAGCTTTAGTTGATTGATAGTTCATGCTGATCGCTGTCGAATACTGGTCCCAGAGCGCGTCAACGGTTTGCTCATCGTTGAGGTCGATCTTCATTAGCTTCGGCTTCATCCTCCCACCCCCGCCGTGTTCTAGTGAAAATGTCAACGCGATGAAATCCCGACGAACAGGTTGCGCAAGTCGCACACAGCCAATTCGATAACTACACGCGTACCAAGCTCTATCGAAAGGGGTGTCTGTCCCAGTTCCACATGCGTAAAAAAGTACTTCGACCGGACCTAGTACATCACACCCTAATATTTTCATCTGACAAGACTGCCTCTTCATCTTTTATTAACTGGGCGGTAGCTGCGGTCTGGTTACAGTATCTATAATGAAGAAGGCCATCCAAGTTAATTTGGTGTCTGTCGTGGTTAGACACTCCTCCAAACAAACCATGCACGCCCAACCGGTAAGTCTTCTTAGCCCGCATAGTTGGCTCTAAAATTGTTGTGATTGCAGAAGTGTTTCTTCTTAAGTTTCGCAATGCAAGGTTCCATTTTTTTTCTGAATGTTACTGAAAGTAAGATTTTTCGTGTGCTCCACGCACGTCGCGTGCATCACGTTTTGATGGCGTTCAGAGTACCTGTGATCGTATCGCGTGATAGCGTGGCAGGTAAAGGTTAGCCTGTGATGCCTCGATTAGAGATGTTACCTTACACAGCTGCTTAACATCCTCCGTGCGCTGTCAGTCTGTGAAAACTCACTTTTTTTCTACAACTAGCCGCCCCGAATGCCGTTTTTTATGTTGCAACGCGGTGCACAATGCGTGGCGAGTTTTTCACGGAAAATTTTTAAATCACCTTGAAGTAGTGTGTTTGTTTCTACTTTTTTCGATTCCTCTTCCTCATCTGGTCTCTTCCCTCGCTTGTCATTCGTTTTTCTATACAGCCATACCTCTTCTCTTTCAGAGACCTCGTGTCAGCATTTGGTTCTGAGATCCTGCCCATAGTGGAAGTTGAGCCCATACAGAACATTCTCACTCAGGGTAGACGGGCCAAAAGCGCGCGCACTCGAAACGTTGCCATCTGGGCCACCAAGGAGATCAAGAAGATGCAGAACGCTGCCAAGACCGACCAACTTGGTGCCCAGTCCATGCTCGCCACTGGCGTCACGCCAAATGTCGCGGGTGCGATGAGCTCGTGATTGGTACGTTCAACCTAGTTGATTAAAAGTTTCACCCTTACCATTTTTTGCCTGACGCGAAAGTAGGAATGTGAATAAAAGACAGGAGGGGTATTGAAATGACCACTGGCAAGCCATATTCCCACTTCTACTTGACAACCTACGTTGACTATGTCTTTATTAGGCATATCTCTTTTGCGGTCATATATAACGGTACTCCCACGTGATCTAGACACGTTTACCGATCCACTAGTGCTTGCCACGTGCAGCTCAGATCCTGAACTGAAACGCACCACTCCGTGTTTAACCCCTAAGCCTTTGTCCATCCAGTAATTCGCGCAATACTTACCAGCCAACCGGTAATGTGCACACAACTAGAATAAATTGTGCTAGCATAGACTACTGCGCCAGGCATGCCACTCACCTTTGTTTTCGTGATCCCAGTCACAGCTCTTTGCTTACCGGTGTTGCTTTACACTTCATGTCATAATTCTTCTCTTTCCACATCACTTTTTTCCCGGACTGTATCATTTCTCCATCAAAACCAATTTCTTTACCTATTTATCTCGTCTCAGCTGTGTATGGTCATGTTAGTTACGCCCGCTCTCCACTCAACAAGTCGATCAGCCTACGTCATTGGTGATAACTTTTTAACATTGGGGTTGTCGGCAGTTAGGGGCGATGGCCTTTTCGAATATTTGATACTTCCTCTGAGCACCTAGATTTCTAGATCTGATGTAGGTTTTCCTGGAATGCCCTTTTGTCTTTAGTTATGGGTGCGTCGAATGGTTAAATACGGCTTTTCAGGAATCAACCAGGACAAAAATGCCGCATGACTGGGTCAGAGTATTTGTTTTCTTGTGTGTCGTCCTCTACCTTCTTACTGAGCCATACGTGATTGCCAACTGAGCACCACTGTGGACGCCTATGGAAGGCCCTGTTCTTTTGGATAGGAACTAGGCCGACTTTGCTCTCATATTCAATTGGATATTATCCCAAACGGCCTTATAAGGATGTGCGGGGAGAAGTCGTTTCAAGTATCACCTACCATGGTTAGACTTCTCAATTTATTTTCGTTTGGTTTTTGCCTTAACCGAACAGTCACTGGTCTTTAGCTTGCTTCCACATACGGGCTAGATCCTTCTCTGTGACTGCCTTAAAGTCCAAGTTGCGAGTTCTCCCTTAATGTAGAAAACGCTGGGTAAAACATAGTAGTCATTTTGACTAACTTAAGCGCCAAGGGTTCCGCCGCCTTGA